GACTCTTTGCGACCCCGTGGACTGTAGCCCTCCAGGCTGCTCTGTCCATGGGGATTCTCCAGGCAAGAATACTGGACTGGGTTGCCATGCCCTCCTCCAGGGGATCTTCCCAACCCAGGGATCAAACCGAGGTCTCCCGCGCTGCAGGCAGATTCTTTACCGTCTGAGCCACCAGGAAAGCCCACCTGGGACCACCCCCTAGCTGGCATCTTGGTGTCATTCGGATACAAGTGGGTGTCATGTCTGTTTCAGTTCCCACCCATAGCGCTTGTGATGCAGTTCATAACGCTGTCCCCAGGGGGCGCTCCACTTCCCCCGGCGCAGACTGACCCCTGTGCCCCAGTCACCAGGATCTGTACTGTCCAGAGTCCTGAAGACGTGCAGTTCCCTCGGGAATGTTTCCCAGGATCTAGACACATTTGCAAATGCTGCTTGTCCAAAAAGGCTGCATTCATACTCACTGAACCTAGGAAGAAGGAGTCTGCTCCTCTCACTGTACCTCAGTACAGCCGAGTCTCTGCTGCAGGGAGCATATCAAAGCAAGCACTTAGTTACCACAACCACCCCACTGCCCTCACCCTTCCTGAAATTTAAAACACCTCAATATCTCCCCCCTCCCAACACACACACTTTCACAGTGTCATTCTCAAATGACTTTCGCCGAGACACATCAAACTTGTGATGTCTACACAAGAAAATGTTCCTGTGGTGTTTCAGTCTGTTCCTGCTGCTGGATCAGACGTACCAAAAGCAAGATCTGAAATCAAGAAACTCTTAGAAGAAAATATAGGCAGCACTCTCTTTGACATTGGTCTTAAAGACATCTTTTTGTCTCCTTAGGCAAGGGAAACAAAAGCAAAAATAAATCAATGGAACTCTAAGAAACTAAAATGCTTTTCCACACTGAAGGACAAAACAAAAACACAGCCTACTACATGGGAGAAGATATGTGCAAACAGTACATCCGATAAGGGGTTAATATTCAAAATATACAAAAGCCTCATGCGACTCAACATCAAAAAGAAAACACAGCACTCTGACTAAACATAGGCAGAGGACATGGGTAGACATTTTTCCAAAGAAGACAAACACACGGCCAAGAGACACAAGAAAAGATGCTCAGTATCACTCATCTTCAAGGAATGCACATCAAAAGCAGAATGAGCTCCCACCTCACACCTGTCAGAATAGCTGTTATAAAAAAAGACAACAAATAACAAAGATGTGGATAGAAGGGAGCCTTTGTGCACTGTTGTTGGAATTGTAAATTGGGGTGGCTGTTATGGCAAACAATACAGAGGTTCCTCAAAAAATTAAAAACAGAATTGCCATATGATCCAGCAATTTCACTTTGGGGTATTTACTCAAAGAAAACAAAAACAATAAGTTGATAATATATATGCACACCAATGTTCATTGCAGCATTATTTGCAATAGTCAAGATATGAAAGCAGCCTAATGGTCCATTGATAGATGAGTGAATATATAATATACATATAATATTACTCAGAAATAAAGAGTGAAATCTTGCCATTTTTGACAACTTGGATGAATCTACAGCATATTAAGGGGGGCTTCCCTGGTGGCTCAGAGGGTAAAGAGTCTGCCTGCAATGCAGGAGACTCAGGTTTGATTCCTGAGTCAGGAAGATCCCCTGGAGTAGGGCATGGCAATTCAGTCCAGTATTCTTGCCTGGAGAATCCCATGGAAAGAGGAGCCTGGTGGGTGATGATCCATAGGACTGCAAAGAGTTGGACATGACTGAAGTGACTTAGCACACATGCATTCAGGGCATATTATGCTAAGTGTAATAAGTCAGGTACAGAAATACAACTACCATATGATCCTGTACATGGAATCTAAAAAAGAAAGCATACAAACAAAACAAAATGAAAACAGACTCACAGAAAACAATTGGGTGCAGAGAGATCAGGTAGAGAGGGAGGTGGGAGGGGAGATCAGGATGGGGAACACATGTAAATCCATGGCTGATTCATGTCAATGTATGATAAAACCCACTACAATATTGTAAAGTAATTAGCCTCAAACTAATAAAAATAAATGAAAAAAAAAGGAAAACACATGGGTGGTTTCTGGAGGGGAGGAAGTGGTGGTGATGAGGCCAAACAGGCAAAGGAGATTAAGAAGTGCAAACCACCACTTAGAAACACAGTAAGTCATAGGATGTAATAGACAACATAAGGAATGTGGTCAATGAGATTGTAATAACTTTGTGTTGGGACAAGTAGTTACTAGACTTACCATGGTGATCAATTCATAATGTATGCAAATGTCAAATCACTAGGTAGTACACCTGAAACTAACACAATATTGTACATCAATGCTATTTCAATAAAAATTAAAGAGCCCTTAAAATATTGACCCAACATGCAAATAACTGCCATCAAGAAAAAGACTAGTATTACTTAAAGAAATACAAGACCATGTCATCAACCACATAAAACTGACAATGTCCAGCAATCAGTGAAAAATTACTAGACATAAAGAAGTAGGAACATGTGACACTTAATGAAAGAAAAATTACTCAATGATTCAGGGTTAAACATGACAGAGGAAACAGACCTAGCAGACAGATACATTAAAGCATTTATTACAAATATGATCCATATACTCAAGGACATAAAGGAAAACATTAGCACAATAAAAGAAGAAATATGAGATTAAAAACTAAGGAAATAAACTTCTGGTGATGAAAATAAATGATCTGAGGTGAGAATTTCGCTCAATGAGACTAAGAGCTGATTCAACATTGTGGAAGAATAATCAGTAAACTTGAAGATATAGAACAGATCCTATTCAAACTGAAGAGTATAGAGAAAAAAGACTGGAAATGGTGAACAGATGCTCAGGGCCAATAGTGAGATAGTATTGGGCAATACCACATATGTAAACTTGGAGATGCTGAGGAGAATAGGAGAATAGAGACAGAAAGACTAGAAATATATACATATACATACATACCTACATATATATATATATATATATGACTAGAAATATATATATAATAAAAATATATATGTAAACATTGACTTCAATTTCAAAAATTTGATCACAAGTATAAAATTTCAGATTCAAGATACTTAACACATTCCAAGTAGGATAATCTCTGTCTCCTTCTCACTCACACACACATACATACATATTTACACATCAAGGCACATATTAATTTAATTATTTAATTTATTTTTAAACCATGACTCATAGCTTGTGGGATCTTAGTTCCCAACTAGGGATTGAACCCATGCTCTTGGCAATGAAAGTGGGGAGTCCTAACCACTGGATAGCCAGATGATTCCCTTAATCAAATTTTTTAAACCCAGTGAAAAAGAGAAAATGTTAAAACCAGCCAGAGAAAGATATAAACTACAAAGAAAGATGAAAGTAACAGCAGAATTCTCATAAGAAACTAAGCAAGCCAAAATAATTTGAACAACAGAAAGGAGGAAAATTTAACCTAGAATTCTTAATACAATAAAAGTACCTTTCCAAAACTCATGTAAATGAAAACTTTTCCAGGCAAACAATGGCTGAGAGAATTCATTACCAACACACCTACACTAAAAAAATATAGGAGAAGACCTTCAGGTAAAAGGAAAATGATACTATAGAGAAAATACTTGGTTTTTGTTTAGTTGCTAAGTCGTGTCTGACTCTTTTGTGACCCCATGAACTGTAGCCCGCCAGGCTCCTTTGTCCATGGGGATTCTTCAGGCAAGAATACTGGAGTGGGTTGCCATTTCCTTCTCCAGAGCTTCTTCCTGACCCAGGAATCGAACCCACATCTCCTGTGTCGGCAGGCGGATTCTTTGCCACTGAGCCACCTGGGAAGCCCAGAGGAACTATATTCTTGTCTTAAATTACAAATAAATCTGAGAGACGAGGCAGGGTTACCTTAAAGCGAAAGGGCAGCTTTGTTCACAAGGTTCGCAAGCCAGGGATAAGAAGCCTTTGGCTGTAACCAAAAGTATGTTCCTTAGAGGTGAAAGGGTGAGGGACTTCAAAAAGCACAAACCACAGAAGCAATAGGAGGGGACTTGCCAAAAGAGACTGGATGGCCCTGGCAGACGGGCCACAAGTTCTTGCTGGCTGGCCTGTAGTTTCCGATGATGGCTGTCATCAGAGCGTGTCCTGAGTGGTTTTTCAAGTAGGAATCTTAGCACAATCAGAAATTCTTACAGTTTTTGTTTGTGGTTTTTCTAAGAAAACAGTGTACGTGACTGAACCCCATGTCGGTCATGACTGCCTGGCTCCAGTTTATTTGGGGTCCCTGTGAGCCACAGTGGGTCCATTTTCCATGTTCTCTCCACCGGGAAAGCCTCTAATGTTTACGCCTCCTTGTGTCAAAGTCTTAGTGGCTCAGTCCTGTCCAGCTGTTTGCGACCCCATGGACTGTAGCCCACCAGGCTCCTCTATCCATGGCGTTCTCCAGGTAAAAATACTGCAGTGGGTTGCTGTTCCCTTCTCCAGGGGACCTGCCCGGCCCAGGAATTGAACCCACGTCTCCTGCGTCTCCTGCACTGGCAGGCGGATTCCTTATCACTGAGCCACCTGGGAAGCCCCCTTAGGGGATGTTGCTTTTACAATAAAAGAATGAAGAGCAACTGAAATGATTCACATATATGTGTAAACATAAAATAGTTAATTTTTCTAATTAACAAAAAAAAAACTCCTTTGGGACTTCCTTCATGGGCCAGTGGTTAAGAGTTCACTTTCCAATGCAGGGGGTGTGGGTTGGATCCCTGGTCAGTAAGCTGAGATCTCACTTGCCTCATGGCCAAAAATCAGAAAACAGGAACAAGGGGGCTCCCCTAGTGGCTCCGTGGTAAAGAACCTGTCTGCCAATGCAGGAGACCCCGGTTCAATCCTTGGATTGGGAAGATCCCCTGGAGGAGGGAATGGCTACCCACTCCAGTATTCCTGCCTGGGAAATCCCATGGACAGAGGAGCCTGGTGGGCTATGGCCCATGTGATTGCAAAGAGTTGGACATGACTGAGCAACTACACTTTCACACACATTATATTTTTACAGGTTGCATTATGGGCATATTAAAACCACTCCATGATAAGCACACAGAAGAAAAACTATTACATGTGGCACAGTTCAATTTTGTAATAAGAACATCTGTTTCCTCCTTGTCCTCCCAACCATTCCTGTAGAATGATCAGGAAGACACTTGGAGACCAGATGTGATGAGATGTTATTCCCGGTTAGGGCTTGGGCCAGGTCTTTAGCGCCTCCTTGTCCACAGACCTCTGAAGCACCCCCAGGAGGGACCAGGCTGAGTCACACCTCCTAGCCCTCCTCCCCTGTGACCTTCTGAACCTGTAAGGGAAACACAGATCAGAAATAGGAGGTCAGTTTGTTGGTTTCTTCACCAGATGTGTTTGAGTCAGTTTCACGGAGGGTTTGCTCTGGAAAGGACAAGACAGAAGGCCACAGGAGGGGTCCCTCGCCCCCTCCCCCCAATCCAGGGACACCTTGAAAGTGCTTCTCACCTGGTGTAGAAGAGGCCACAGGTAAGGAAGAAACCAGCCCCCATCAGGGCGCCCCTCAGCAGGGTGAGGACCAGGGGCCAGGAGCCCTGACTCTCCCCAAAGTCTTGGGGGCAGAAAGAGGAGACACCTGCAGGAGGAAGGCAGAGGCGAGGTGTGAGTTCACACCGTAGCCCCGCTTAGGGCCCCAGCTCTGAAAGACAGCATCCGGACGTCCCTGGTGGTTCGGTGGTTGAGAATCCGCCTGCCAATGCAGGGGACACCCATTCCATTCCACTTGCTGCAAAGCAATTACGCCCGTGTGCCACAACTACTGCGCCCAAGTGCCTAGAGCCTATGTTCCACAACTAGAGAACCCACTGCAATAAGAAGCCCAAGCAAAGCAACCAGAGAAAGATCTTATGCAGCAGTGAAAACCCAGTGCAGCCAGAAAGCAAAGAACTGGGGGATCATTGCTTATACTCACCCAGAACAACTAGGTTTAAGGACACACGGTCGGAGCCGCTCGGGTGCTGAGCACTGCAGGTGACCTCTCCTCCATCCCCTAAGACCACCTGGGGCAGCTCTAGGACCGCAGGATCCAAAGGCTGGGAGGGGCTCAGGGTCAGGCTCCCCCGGACCCAGCTTACATTGGCGGGGGGGTTGCTGTCGATGACACAGACCAGGCGCAGGGACTGACCCTCCCAGACTCACAGGGAGGTGGCACTGCCCAGGATCTCAGGGACTGGGGACACAGAGAGAGCAGGAAGGGCAGGGCTGAGAGGCCCTTCACCCCGCCCTTCCTCCCAGATATAGGACAGTGGCTCTGAGATTTCATCACCGGCAAGGGCAAGTAGGGGTGAGGTCGGGGCGGGGGAAGGAGAGGCAACTCAGTGAACCCAAGACACGAGGATGGATGTTAGAAGAAGAGTTGGCTATATCTCAACCTGGGAGATAATATCCCAGGAGGTGGCCTCTGATGTGTGAGCACATGCTGGGCATGGACACTTGTGGGTCTGGCCACATGCAGGCCTGCACACAGGTGATGAAGGAGAAGGGGGACATGGAGGGAAGGAGGAGGGTCAGCTCTGGGCCTGCAGACACCCCTTTGTGGCCCCAATTATGGCAGGCTGGACAAGGCACAGCTGGAGGCTGACAGGCCAGAGGGGAGACTGCTCCAAGTCCAGGTGAGAGAATGCAGGCCAGAGCTGAGGCTGTGGTCGTGGAGGTGGAGGAAGGGAGGACATGAGGCATTTTCAGGAAGTCAAGCTTGCAAACTAAGTCTTGGGGAGGGTTGGGTGAGACATAGTCCAAAGGAATTTCTGAGATGTAGACTCTGATTACTCAGATCGGAGGGTCCCGACCAAGAGGAAGTGGAGGACACTCAGGACAGAGATTTGTGAGGGTCTTCAGTGCAGAGGCTAGAAAACTCCAGGGTGAATGAACTTGACCTTGCCCTCCTGAAGAAATGGGCAGGATGCTGGTGTTAGTGTGTGTTAGTCACACAGTCATGTCTGACTCTTTGAAACTCCATGGACGGTAGCCCGCCAGGCTCCTCTGCCCATGCAAGTCTCCAGGTGAGAATACTGGAGTGGATAGCCACTCTCTTCTCCAGAGGATCTTCCTGACCCAGGGATCGAACCTGGGTCTCCTGTATTGCAGGTGGATTCTTTACCATCTGAGCCACCACGGAAGACCAGGAGCCTGGTACCCAGCTTGGGAACTCAGTCTGCTCCGGGCAGGTGGAGATGGCACAGTCAGGAAGAGACAGAGAATCAGGGAAAGGATGGCATGGGAAAGTGAGGGGTGAGGAGAGGTGGGAAGAGAGGGAACAGGGGGAGATGACAGTGAATATTCACCTAGGAGTCCACAGTGGCCCCAGAGAGAGTCTTGCCAAGGGACAGAGTTGTGGGCAGGGGAGGGGAGACATAGGAGCTGAGAGGGGTGAGTGGTGAGGGGCCTGATTCTGTTCAGTCTTCACAGCATCCCCCCATCTGACCTCCATGCTGCCCAGGGACCTCACACCTGTGCTGTTTTCCCAGAAGACCCGAATATCCAGGTTCTGCAGGGCATCTGGAAGAAAAAGGAATTAAAATCCTGCTGCATTGTGATGGGGGGTCAGGAGTAAGGGGTGAGGCAAAAGTCTCCATGTCTTCACCCCAGCTTGTCTCCAAGAAGAGTCCCAGAGTTTCCCACCAAGAACCCTGCCTCTCCCTCCCTTGGGGGAGGATCACATCCAGGACCCAGGCTCTTGGGCCCCCACTCACAGGACACATTGAGCCTGATGGTCACCTCTGTGCTCACACCAGCTCTGGGGAAGGTTACGCGACACGTGAGGTTGGTGCCATGGTCCTGGGGCCTCAGGGTGAGGGTGAGCACTGAGGAGCGGGGACTCTCGGGGTGCAGGGAGGTGAGGGCGACCCTGGTCCAGGAGAAGGTGGGGGGCGTCCCCCTGTCACAGGCCCATGGCACTGCACGGGTGAGCACTGAGGAGCGGGGACTCTCGGGGTGCAGGGAGGTGAGGGCGACCCTGGTCCAGGAGAAGGTGGGGGGCATCCCCCTGTCACAGGCCCATGGCACTGCACAGGTAAAGTTGGTGGGGCGGCCGGATGCTAGGGTCCCCTGGACGTGGATGTCAGCTGTGTCTGTCAGAGCTGGAGAGAGCAGACCCAGGACTGGAGCGGGGACCCCTGTGTGCCCCTCAGAGCAGTCTCTTCCCCAGCATCCTGTATCCCTGGGTCCCCCCGCCCCCAGGATGAGAAGGCAGGGTTCCCCTCCCACCCTGCCCTGGGGACCCTCAGGACCCCTGTATGTGTGTCCTCCCCTTGACCCCCTCCTTACCTGTCACACGAACGGAGAGCAGCTTCAATGCATAACTATATCTCACAGTAGGCCCTCTCTCCAACCTAAAGATGTATGTCCCCGTGTCCCTCCTCTGGGCATCTCTGATGTCCAGGGAGCAGTCCTTGGCCCGGGGATCTCCAAGGAGGAGGAATCGGCCCTGGGCCTCACTGACCACTGCGCTGGGTTGTTTGTGGCCACTGCTGGATCTCCATGGGAATCTACCCTTTTCCAGAACCAGTAGCTGTGAGCTGGGCCAGAGTCGTTCTAGCCTTTCCGGGGATAGGAGGCCGAGCAGGGCACGCAGACACACAGGCCCTCTTGCACCGACATGGACGGCGGCACGTCCAGCCAGTATCTCGGATTCTGAGCCAGGGACCTTGCGGGGAATCGAGGGTCAGCCGAGCCCCCGCCCCACCGTCCACTCACCTGCCCACAGCAGCGGCAGCAGCAGCGGCAGCATGTCTGAGCCGGAGGGTGTCTGGGCGCCCTGTGTGTGAAAAGAGAAGGGGAAGGGGAGAGGGAGGTAGGGCTGCGGGGAGACCCGTGGGAGGCTGGGGAGGAGCAAGAAACTCCATTCACAGAAGCAGAACTTCTCCTCCTCCTCCTCCACACACAGCAGACAGGACGCCCCTCCGCCCAGAGACCCCGGGGACCTGCCCAGAGAGGAGCAGACAAGCAGGGGACCCCTGTCCTGTCCCCCATCTCGGGCTCGTCCCTCCAGCAGCAGAGCTTGGACCTGTGAGGACGCCAAGGGCTGGGACTCAGGCGGCCTCCTAAGGCTCCCCCATCCGAGCTCCGCTGTCTACACCAGCGCTGTTCAACTCCTCTCTTGACCCGGAGAGTCACAGCCTCACAGAGACCCTCGGGTGGTCATTCCTGCGAGATGTCGGGCTTTTTATGGTCTGTGGGAGTGTCTGGAGCAGAAAACAAGAAGGGGCTCCCGGGTGGACTGAAAGCATCGGCCCATCCCCCATTCACACATCCTCCCAGCGGTGAGCGTATCTGGGTGGTGACCTGAAGGCCAGAAGGGATCCGACTCACCTGGTCCCCGCCCGAGAGATGTCCCCCGCCCGGGGCCCTCACTTCCTCCCCTGACACACAGCGCTGCTGGCTCTAGGGCTTTGTCACTGGTGAGACTGCCATGAGTCCTGGCAGCATTCTGGGTTTTTTTTAAAGTGAGTATGATTTCTCTCACTCCAATAAAAAACTAACTTTTCCGACAGAGAAACTTGAAACTGTCAACAACAAAGCCTTATTCCTCTTTGTCCCATCTCCTGGCCACCCCAGTTCTAGTTTTCTGTCATTAGGAAATTGACACCTTTGGTACCTCGTAGATGTGGAATAATATACCATTTGGCTTTCTGTGACTGGGTTATTGAAGGTACCATAATGTCCCTAGAGTTCATCCACCTGGTGGCATGTGTCAGAGATTCCCTCCTGGATTTCCCTGGTGGCTCAGTGGTTTAGAATATGCCTGACAGTGCAGGGGACATGGGTTCGATCCTCGGCCAGGAAGCATCCTACATGCTGGAGAGCACCTAAGCCCATGCCACACAATACCTGCCTGCCTGCCCTGGAAACTGGGCTACACAAGGACAAAAGCTACAACAATGAGAAACCCATACACCACAACCAGACTGACACCCTAGCCGGCTGCAACCAGACAAAGCCCACGTACAGCAACAGAGACCCAGCAGAGGCAGAAATGAATAGACAGTCCTTCCTTTTCCAGGCCGAATAATTGTCCACGGTTTTGTTGATCCGTTCATCAGCTGAGGGACACTTGGATTGCTTCCGTCATCTGGCTGTTGTGAACACACTACCAGAAACACAGGTGTGCTAATGTCTCCAAGAGTCCATCCTCTCAATTCTCCTTGGAGATAATCAGAGGTGGAATGGCTGGATCATGCTAATAATATATTTAATTTNCTGTTGTGAACACACTACCAGAAACACAGGTGTGCTAATGTCTCCAAGAGTCCATCCTCTCAATTCTCCTTGGAGATAATCAGAGGTGGAATGGCTGGATCATGCTAATAATATATTTAATTTCTGAGGAAGTACCATTATCTTACCATCTTACTGACCTGCTGCCCCCCTGACTTAACCACAGCTGTGACCAACTTACACTAACTATATGTTTGAAGGTGTTTATCTTGGCCCCTCTCCTGATCTCCAGACATTCCTGTTCAGCTCTCTCCCTGGCATCACAGTTGCATATCTAAGGGCTTTGCAGGAAAAATGCAGCATTTCAAAGTCCTACTCTCTGAAGCCCTCCACGTAACACAACTCCATTTACCCAGTTGTTCAGGAGAAACATTTCAACATCATCTTAGCTCCTCTTTTTCCCTCAGTTACCACCTCCACTAAAAAATGTCAGGTACTTCCCTGGTGGTCCAGTGGCTAAACTCCCTGCTCCCTAGACTGGGGGCCTGGGTTCGATACCCCAGTCAAGGAGCTAGATCCCACGGGCTACAACTAAGAGTCACACGCTGTCCCTGAAGATCCCACATGCAACTAAGACCTCACCGGGCAAATACATAAGTAAAGATTTTTAAAGAGAAAAGAAACTGGATCACAATAGATCTAAATACACGTTCCCTGTCTCCATGATCTCCCTGGGCCATCGCAGCATCACTTCCTGCCTGGGTGCCCAGCACTCTTGCCACAGCTCTTTCTTGCTGCCCTGGATCTTTCTGGGGTCTCCTGGTGGTTCAGAAAGTAAAGAATCCACTTGCAATGCAGGAGACCTGGGTTCGCTCCCTGGGTGGGGAAGATCCCCTGGAGAAGGGAGCGGCACCCTGCTCCAGTATTCTTGCCTGGAGATTCCTTATGGACAAAGGGGCATGGCAGGCTACAGCCCACGGGGTCAAAAAGAGCTGGACACGACTGAGAGGCTAACACCTTAGGGCTGATTCTGTTTTAACAGCCATTGGGATTCTGCTCCTTTCCTTGTGTGATTTTCCTCCAAACATGTCAGCAGCTGATGTGGACTAATTTTATTTTTCATATATTTTTAAAAGTTCTGGTCCACATAATGACAGCCCGTGATGACAGAAGTGCTCCTCATTCCCTTTATTTCAGTAAAATATTCATAGAATAAAATTTATTTTTAAGACTGCATAGGGGACACTTTGGGGAATCCCAGGTATCTCACTGGTAAAGAATTTGCCTGCCAAGCAGGAGACTCTGGGTCAGGAAGATCCCCTGAAGGAGGGCATGGCAACCCACTGCAGTGTTTTTTTTTTTTAGCAGCATTTTATTTATTTATTTTTCCCCCATTTATTTTTATTAGTTGGAGGCTAATTACTTTACAATATTGCAATGGTCTTTGCGATACATTGACATGAATCAGCCATGGACCCACATGTATTCCCCATCCTGATCCCCCCTCCCACCTCCCTCTCCACCCGATCCCCCTGGGTCCTCCCAGTGCACCAGCCCCGAGCACCCGTCTCATGCATCCAACCTGGGCTGGTGATCTGTTTCACCCTAGATGATATACATGTTTTGATGCTGTTCTCTCTAAACATCCCACCCTCGCCTTCTCCCACAGAGTTCAAAAGTCTGTTCTGTACATCTGTGTCTCTTTTTCTGTTTTGCATATAGGGTTATCGTTACCATCTTTCTAAAATCCATATATATGCATTAGTATACTGTATTGGTCTTTTATCTTTCTGGCTTACTTCACTCTGTATAATGGGCTCCAGTTTCATCCATCTCATTAGAACTGATTCAAATGAATTCTTTTTAATGGCTGAGTAATATTCCATGGTGTATATGTACCACAGCTTCCT